GCTTGTGCAGATTTTAAAAAAATGGATGTTTTTATTTTGTTTAAAATAACTAGGACAAAATAAAACTGATGTCATTTGATGAGTCAGGTAGTAGTTGCTTTTTTTTCCCCACGCCTCTGGACATGGCATTTTGGTTCTTAAGGGAACAAGGCATCTGGATTATCAGCTCAGTAGAATCTCTTTTTGACAGGAAGCTAAGATGAGTCTTTCGCAAGTCAGCATTAGGACCCTGGGGGACAGTACCGAGCGTACCTCTGGAGTTCCTGAGGTTAACAGTCTAGTACATGCTTCTGTTCTCTTCCTCACCTCTCCCTACCCACCTTTTAAAACAACTTGGATTGTCATACAAATCGAAATTATTGATAAGGTCTACAACTCCAGAAATGTTTGGAACTCTTGCCATATATATAGATACATGAAAAAAAAAAAATTGAAAACCACCCCCTTAAATGGGATTTAGTAACTTTAACCTTAATCCTGAGCATTAGTGTTAATGTTAACTACTTCAGGAATCCTTTGGGGTCTTAAAAGATTGTAGTTGGAATCAAACTCTTTTGGATATGAAGCCTTTCACAGAAATATGTAGTAGCTTTTTGTTCCAGTATGTGGGGTGGGGCAGACTTTGGTCCCAAGCAGAGTTCTTTAAAAGTGCATGTCTAGAGGATAGGTTGCCTCTGAGTAAATACCTGTTGACAGTGACGGTCACTTGCAAGAAGTGACAGCAGGTAGAGAACATTGTCAGAGAGAAAATAAAAGATAACGTCATCCCCTGTGTGATTTGGTGATGCAGTAGGAAGAGCACAGATTTTGGAGTCATGTAGGCCTGTATTTGAATCCTTCCGAAGCATCTGACTGGGTCTGTGATCTCAGGCCTCTACTTCCTGAACCTCATTTTCTTCATCTATAAAGTCAGGCTTAGTAATGCCTACCCCCTGATAGTGTTAAGGATTAAATGAGATCATATGCAGTGTGCCTGGCACACAGGTAGTAAATAAAGAGCAGATGTTACAGCAAGCACTTAAAAGCATGGGCCCTGGAGTCAGACTGCCTGAGTTCAAATCCTGACTCTACTACTTGCTAGTTATGTGACATTGGGCAAGTTACAGCTCTGTGCCTCAGTTTCCTTATTTATAAAATAGGGAAAATAATACATCAGAAAGTTTGGTGAGGATGTCGGGCACTAAGTAAATATTCAGTAAGTGTTGGCTGCTGCCATTACTATCATCGTTGTCATCGTCATTATTTGTATTGCTACTTTCAACCATGGCTTTGAAACAAGTTCTGGAAAGGCTGCAGGCATCTTTTTGCATGACCCCCAAAGGTCAAGAAGAGGTCCAAGGAAGCCAGTTTGCATTAGTCCCTACAGCCCCAGTCCATCCTGTCTGTGTCCAAAGCATTTAAGAGACCCATTTCTGCTGATACAGACGGTCATAATTAGCAGCTTCTAATTGCTAGTATAAACTAGCAAGAAAAAAAAAATTATTATGCTCCTAACTAAGTACCCAGGAGCTCTGGTGGCATAGTGCCCAAAGTACTTGACTGCTAACCAGAAGGCTGGCGGTTCAAACCCACCAGCCACTCCTTGGAAGGAAGGTTGGGCAGTCTACTTCCGTGGTGATACTGCTTCAGCAACCCAAGGGGGGGTCACTATGAGTTGGGACCGGCTCGACGGTAGTGAGTTTGGTTTGGTTTTAACTAAGGTACCCAAAGGCAGCATTCGATTGTCCATGGGCTCACTGACTTACCAAGTTTTCTCCTCAGTCACACTCACTTATAAATTGTCAGTTGATTTAGCTGACTGAGAACGAAAACAGAAACTGAAAGCTTGGAGCCATTCCATAGTTCATGTCATAAATCCCAGGGGTTCCTGTAGACTTTGTGTTTACTGTTCACCTATTACAAACTCATTAAGGCAAGGAAGGGCCTGTCCACACCTTAACCTTGTAGCTGGTCACATGATCTTCTGTTTGGGAAAATGGGAGGACAGGATTTTAGATGCATAACATTTTCTAGCTTCAGTCTGCTTTTTCTCACCTAGACCGCATGCATAGATCTGAGGGTATTGTATATTTTGTGCTTTAAGTTTTTTCTTGTTGAGTACCTTGGAAAGGGCAAAATAAGACTCTGTACCACTCTTAGACTTGCTGAGGGATGAGAGGAGCCCGTGAGTGGTCAGGGGCACCCAGAGTACCTGGAGGGCTTCTGCTTTCAGCAGGATTGGGGGGAGGGCTGTGCTCAGCATTGTAGAGGCCTTGTGCTTGGTTTAAAGGCTGGATTAAAGCCTGCTTTGGGACCTCTTGTTCCAAGGCATTCTGTTCTGAACATCTATGAATTTTATCTTCATCCAAAAACTACCCTGATGTGGAAACTGCCGTCTCTCATGGGATCCCTCTTCTGGTTTGTTTTACTATGCTTTTTGCTCACTTTTTACTTCTGATCCTAATTTAATGGTTTCATGTATAAATGTGTAACTATTTGAAGGAGAAATTGGTGACATAAAGAAAGGCTCCTACTCAGCCTGGGTATTCATGAAAAGGTATTACTGAACATTTGCAAGTGCTCTCTGATGTCAGAGATGTTTGCTTTTTTTTTTCCCCTTGTCCTACATGTACATATGTAGTTACATAAGAGCTAATGTTGCCATCTGGGAACTGTTGGTTGAAAAGCAGTTTTAAAATAGGCAAAATTTAAAGAGAGACTGGAGTATAATATGCACAGCAATTTTATCATTGGTGAAGAGGACGGAATGTGGAGGGCTACGTGAGGTCTTAGAGAATTTCTAGTCAGGTAAGGAATGGCCATGGAGAAAAATGTGTCTGCAGTCCCAGAGCCTGTTAAATATTAAAGACAGAGCTACGACTGCACCATCTCCTGATGCCCAAGCTCTTCCTCGCCACTACTGCTCTGCCCCCGTAACATAGCATTCATCATTTTTTCTTCCATCTCTAGTATTTTAATTAGTTCCTTTTAATTATGTGCCTTATATTTTCATTTTACCATCTAATAACTAGACCCTAAGAAGGCCCCATTGGCAGAAATGGGAAACAGTATCTCAAGTGGCCTTGCAACCAGAATTGCAAACCCACATGGCTAGTTACTTTCATTCCTCCTCCATAGGCTAACCAACTCAGCTAAAGAAATATATGTGGCTTTTTCCCACCCTCATGCTCTTGCCTGTGCCCAGAGTGACCCTTTCCCACAAAGTCTACTTTGGTCTAGTGCAGAGTGTTCACCATTTCACATGGGAGCCCATGTGAGCAGAACCCAAGCCAGGGCCTGGCTCACACGAGGCGATGCCAGAAACCATCTTTTTTGTGGCCTTTCTAATCTGTACTACTCAGGTTTCACCTGTTGGTGCTGCCCTGTGATTTGGCTGTGTGTGTATATATACTCTTCTTTAACTAGATAATAAGCTTTTGGGCAAAAGAAGCCATGACTAATCTATTGTGTTTCTCCACAGTATCTACCCAGTACTTTGCACGTATCTTGTACCAGATAAAAATTGGTCGGTTGAATATGAATGATTTTCTTTTGAGGAAATTGCCTAAAGGGTGCTATAGAGGAAAGCCTGGAAATTCTAGTATTTGAGAGAACTGGTAAATAAACTCAGGCCTTGTAAACCTCTCTATTAACCAACCACCCACCTAAGGTTTAGAAATTGCAATTGTCAGGATTTAATACAGATGGATCTAGTTTTGCTAGCTGGAACGTAGATGTTTTCTTTGTATTTTTCCCCCTGATCTATTCTGGTCATTTAGGACCCACTGGGTTGGGAGCTCTGGTGGTGTAGTGCCTAAGGCATTTGACTGCTAACCAGAAGGCTAGTGGTTCAAACCCACCAGCCACTCCTTGGAAGGAAGATTGGGTAATCTACTCCCATAGAGATATCACCTCAGAAACCCAAGGAGAGATCACTATGAGTTGAATCGACTTGACGGCAGGGTGTTTGGTTTGGTTTTGGGGTTGTAATACAGAATTGTTGAGTACTGCCCTACCCTGAGTAAGATGCTCTCCTACTCCCCAGCAGCCGCTGCGGCGGGAATGCCATATTTGAGCTACTAGACTACCCTGCTTTGGGGTTCGTTTTTATAGGCTTTGTACCATTCTGCCCATTCAGCTGGCTGGCAGACATATTTACTCCAGTCATATTTGCAACCTGAAGGGAATATCTCAGGGAAATTTGACCTCCAGGAGCACAGTAACCTGATACTCGCTTTGCTGGTTTATTAACTTACTCCTCTGACGGGGCAGTGCCCAAGCTGCTCACAGTATGGGAAAGGTGTGGCTACTTCCTGAAATGGCCCAATCTCATGCCCTTACTGTGTTGACATCAGGCACCAACAGCTTTCACAAAAGTCTCTTGAGCCAGAAAGGCTGAAATAATAGTGACACAGCAGCATTACTCACTTGAAAATAGTTAACAACAGTCTGAGCACTCGGCTGAACTCTAAGACCTTAATAAAGAACTTTGTACACAGTCCCATCCCAAGCCAGCTCCATCCTAGGCTTTCTCCTTTCGTTCTGGACCTGCCTCTAGTCAGGCTCTAATGTAGAGCAAGTGTGCCAAGCTGTCAGTTAAGTAGTACTTTAATGTTTTCAGACATAGCCCAGGCTGAGGACCTTAAAGCAGCCTAAAGAACCAAAGGGCATGGGAGGAGTACAAGTTCAGGAGTCAGATGGACCTGAGTTTGCATCCAGGCTCCGCCACTATCTAGCTGATGAATGTGAAGAAACCAGTAAACCTCTCTGAGCCTTAGATTCCTGGTATATGGAGCTACCTTTCTGAGAATACTGTGAGGTAAGGTATGTGAAGCAGCTGGTGCAGTGTCTGGCACAAAGAAGATTCTTCATAGCAATTATTCATCATTTCCTCAGCCTTGTCCCACTTCACGCTGTCACTCCCAAGCTTTCCTTTGCTGTTGCTGCAAAAGGCATGGTCCCCTCACTGCTTGGACTAGGTCTTTATTTTGTCCCCCGTGCTTTTTCTCATATTGCCACAGGCATCTCGGGCCCAAATCCTAGACAAAGCCACAGAGTATATCCAGTATATGCGAAGGAAAAACCACACACACCAGCAAGATATTGACGACCTCAAGCGGCAGAATGCTCTTCTCGAGCAGCAAGGTGAGCACCCAAGCTTGTGGGGCAGCTGGCCCTGTTTTTGCACCTGGACCTGCAGAGTCAGAGCCAGTCATGGAGCATGCGCGCAGAAGCAGCCTTGGCCCTGCTTCTTGGGGCCTGAGTGGTTGAGCATTATAGCCACCCTGAGGAAGGACCTGAGCTGCCAGTGAGGAGACAGTGGAGTCTAGGGAGTTGGACATCTGGAAATTTGTATCTTTTCTGACCTAATTTCTCCCCCTCGAGGCTCAGGTGCTCTGCCTGCAGGTAGGGGAGTCACACCTGTCATCAGGTGTCAGAAAAGAATTTTGAGGTCCTTGGAGTGGAATGTGCTGTGTAAGTACACTCAAGATATTCAAGGACAGTGAGCCCTCCCTATTGTCATTGGTAGTCCAATCAGGGCAGCCTATGGGCCAGGCCCATGCTGTTCTCAAATGCTCACACCCACCTTTTCCTACAACCACAGGGGAAAGCGAGAGCTGATCAAGTTCTTTGTTCCTGGGGAATTCACTTCTCTTCCTCCCTCATGGAAGATGCAAGTAAAAGGAAATGCAAGTAACCACCTGGGATAGAACACCTCAGATAAAATAAAATAAATGGGTTGACCATCCAGGCTCAATATGAGCTGAACCGTGGGATGGGCAGCGGGAGGTGTTAGCGGGTTGGTTACTGGGCCAGCAGCCTGCATGTAGGGGCTATGTGTCAAAGGACCTAGGTAGTCTATGTGTATTGGTGACCTGCTTCCAAGTGTCCAGATTGTCATTCCAAGTGGATCGTACACATGAAAACTAAGCCAATGCTTTTCTTTGAATGATACATCTTACATCATCCTTCCCTGATGTTGTGGATGATATGATCAGAGCTGTTACGTGTGACGTTTTGCACCTTGTGGAGCCTGGCATTGCCAGGCCAGCTTCTCCTCTGTCGTAGCACTGTTGGATCCCACAGGGAGTGGCTCATGCTCCTGTTTCCACACTGGGCTTCCATGGCAGGGCAGTGACATCACAAGCCTTCTGTTTACGGTTGAGCGGGATTGCAAAGTGGCTGGCCCTGTTCATTGGGTCCCCAGGCCTGACTGGGAAAAGGGAGGGGAATGAAGTGAAGTGTACCAGTGGAACAGCCACCAGGAGGGAGCCACCCTGAGCCTCAGGGGCCAACAAGCCCTTAGGAAGAACAGGCTGGACCCTGAGTCTGAGACTTGGTTACTCCCTAGCGTTCCGAAGGTTAACACTCTGCCTTGCTTGCCTTTCAGTCCGTGCACTGGAGAAGGCGAGGTCGAGTGCCCAGCTGCAGACCAACTACCCCTCCTCAGACAACAGCCTCTACACCAACGCCAAGGGCAGCACCATTTCTGCCTTCGATGGGGGCTCAGACTCCAGCTCGGAGTCAGAGCCCGAAGAGCCCCAAAGCAGGAAGAAACTCCGGATGGAGGCCAGCTAAGCGAAGCGGGGCAGGCCAGCAATAAAAAACTGTCTCCTCCGTCGTCTCATCTTTCAGTTCATCGTTAGAACCTTTTAAGAGACTATTTTTCTTATGCTTCTTTTTTTTTTTTTTTTTTTTACATAGAAGCTCTTGGACAACAGCTCTTGTTCTCCATTTCCACTACTTTTTTTTTTTTGTTTTTGTTTTTAATGTTTTCCCTTCAGGGATTCCCTGTTCCCACCAGGAATTTTTAAACCAAAACACCCCAACTTGGCAGCTTTTTCTGTGGAGGACAGACGGCCGGCCGGACCTCTGAGCACATGGTGTCCTAACCGCCCCACCAGCTCCTCCAGCCCTGCCGGGCACCACCGCCTGGAGGACTCCTTCCCCTCACAGGCCTCTCCTCCCAGTCCGCCCTCACCTGTATTTGATGGACTTTGTGAATCTGTGAAGTGCTCTACTTTGAGAAGATGATCAGCTTGGAATAATCAGAATTATCTCCACCTCCCATTTAAGGATTTTTTTCCCCCCTAAAAAAGCTCTTTATCACTCTTATTAAAAGACCAGATCTTTGAAGAAGTTTGTGGTGTAAAAGGAAAGTGGGGACAGCTTTGCAGCTCAGAGTCTGGCATGTTTCACCCCTGCTTCTCTCAGCAGCTGTTCTAAGCCTGCATCGCCAGCCCTGTGGAGGGCTGCGTGACCCTCTGTGATATGGATGAGAGAAAGCAGCAGTGAAGCATTAGCCACCAGGGAGTTGGTAGTGGGTGTTTTTGGGGGGATGGGACAGGGAGTGGGGCGGCTTGGGTGGGGGTAGAGGTTTTGTATTGAGGGCCAGTGATGATGTTTTGATATTTATTTCCTGCTACTGAAATTTGAATCTGAGTGAATTGTTCCTATTTCTGATGACGTCGGTATTGCAAAGCAACAGATTCATAAAGTAATGATCAAATCTTCCTTTCTTTCCGTGTGCATTTCTAAGAAATAGAGCCAACTGATTTTGTATGTAAATACCAAGAGCAATTTACCTGGTACTAAACCCGCATACACCGGTGCGGACCCTTCCCTGCCCTCACCCTCTTCCTTTCCTTCCACCCTGGAGCCTGTCTCTCTTATGTGATCCAGCCCTGGTTCTGGCTGTGGTCAGCAGATCCCAGTGAAGGGTTTTGTGTGTTTAGGCTTCATTTCTTTGTCTTTTTCCTACTCTGTTCCCAGCATTTGCTGATTTCTAGTGTATACTCTGTAGTCTCAGTCTGTGTTTGATTCCATTCCATGGAAATAAAAAGTATGTTGTACATACTGCGGAAGAATTGTCTTGCAAGTTAAGGCTTCCCCCTTTACTATAAGACTATAAATAAAAACTTATTTTATCCTTAGTGGTGGTGGTGTCTTCTTGCCCTTGCAAAGGCCAAGATGGAGGAATGCTCTCCGGAGACCACTGGGCCTGAGAGAGGAGCCGAGGCTGCTTAGCTGGGCGTGCAGGTCTGGGAGCACTCGTAAGCCGGAGCTGTTTGTTCTGAGGACTCAGCTCAGCCAGAGGCGGTGGGCAGACCCTCATAAGCAGGCGGATGGTGTCCTTGCTTTTTGGACAAAGGCATCTGAGGTTTCAACAGGGATGGAGTTAGCCATGGAAACATTCCTAGGTCTGATTCCTGCTAAACAAATAACCCGTGGGGAGCTCGTAGCCCAGAGCAGTGAGTTCAGGTTTCTCCTAGTAATGACTGCTCAATTCAGAGGTGACTGGTGTTCTCTAGGATATTTCCGTTCCAAAGAATTCTAGTATGTTAAGAGGAGGCTGCAAAGGTGCCAAGGGCTGGGCGTAAAGAGGCTATAGTAAGTTCCTTTTCCTTTACTATGAGGGTTCAACACCAGACTGACCTTGGAGGGAAGAGGATCTGTGGCCAGAACACAGCTCAGTTTTGGTGTTCCCATCTGGCTGACAGTCACTTGTGTTCCTAGACCCAGGAAAGTGAAGTTAGCTTTCAGTTTTGCCGATTTTAAAATGTGCAGGGACTCTGTAACAGTTGGATGTCAGATCCGTAGTACCTCTGTGGTTAATGGTGGTTGGCAGATACTTCTATAATAGGTAACTATTAACATGATGAAAAACCATGATTACATTAAGGGAAATGATGCTAGGAGGTATTAAAGACATCCTTTTCAAGGCAGATGAGAGGACTATAATAAGAACAAAACAGACTTGAGAAGTCAGGTGATTGCTTAAAACCCTCTAGCATGTTTTCTTCTTCTTTCCCATTGTCCTTAAATCTTTATTGTGTATCTGGCCTTATAAACTAGTTATTAAGAGGCTGTGTGTGAGTTACACAAATGGGTTCAGTCAGGGTGGGATTAGCTGCAAGTGAAACCATGTTGATAGGGGATGAAGGGAGTATAAAGTGGGGCCTCCAGAGGGCATGGAGTAAGAAGGATTTCCAGCAAGATGGTGGAATAGGCAGACAAGCTACACAGACCCTCTTCAACAAAGAAATGAGAAACCAATTGAAACAAATATAGAAGATAATCCTGGAACCTTGAGTTTTGAAGGGAAGGATGAAGTGGATTAAATACCAACTAGTAAAAGAACCTGAGTGAAAACTGAGTAAGGAGACAAATAGGCATTGGCTGTCAGCTGTCCTGACAGCATGGCCATCTTGAATATTTAGAAGTGGTGTTCTGATCAAGTCAGCAACCTAAGAATCAGCTCTGCTTGCCAAGGACTGCATGGGTAACTGCACTGGTGGCTGATGACTAGAAAACAGCAAATAAGAAAAACTGAGCTGTGGATTGTTACCTGTCCTGAGAGTGCAGCCATTTTGAATATTAGCAAGCAGCATTCAGATCCCAGGCAGCAACCTAAGAATAGACTCTGCCTCCCGAGGACAGCACACACAATTGCACTGGAGACTGATGACTAGAAAGGTATGATATTCTCCTTGTTAACTGTTACATCCCACACCCTCTTGGTGAAGAGAAGTGTCCACCCATTTTCTGGACCAACAGGAATTCCATCCCGGTCTGTGTGCCCTGACAGAGGCTGTGTGCCCTGCCCTGCCACTCCCAGTTTTGTTTTTATTTGTTTCTAAATTAGTATTTATTTTTTTGTCCTTTCTTTTTACTTTTTTCTTCCATGATTCTTGTTCTTGGGGTGTTTTTTTCCCCTCTCTTCCCTTTTCCTGGTTCCTTTCTTTTTTCTTTCTTCTTTTGGTTCTTCCCGTCTCTGGAAGCTCCGAGATATTGTGGGGTGTTTTTTTTGTTTTGTTTTGTTGCTTTTTTTTCTCTTTCATCCTTTTTAGTATTTTTAAAAAATTTTTCTTCTCTTTTACTGCCTTTCCTTTTTTTTTTTTCCTGTAATTGTTCCTGTTTGTTTATGCAATTTGTGCTTTTTCTGTTCTCATTTCAATTGTTTTTGGTAGTTTTTTTTAATTTTATTCTTTTGTCTACGTAGGAAACAACAATGCCCATATGACCCAACCATACCTGCACCTCCTGCAACCCCACCTACTGAGTGAGGGCCACCACTTGCTTCTGCACCAACTGACCAATGATATACATGGCCACCAGTACCAGCCCAATTCACCCTTAATTGCTCTTCACAAACAGCTAACAGAAATATGTGCACACACATTCATTTTTCTAACACACCCATCAGGAGACAGGTGGTGAGTGCATAAGTGGTGCCAACTAGCAAATGGAGGATCACAGTACCCTGCTCACAGAGATATATCAAAATTGAAAACGAAACAAACAAAAAAAAAGGGTGAATCACACCAACATACAATCATTGATCAAATATAAATACAACATCACAATATCTCAGAGACAACTGACTGTCCCAGTCCACACAAAGAAGCAAGATAAAGTAGTACAAACAAAGGGCTAGGGTGCAGCCCAGAAAACCTCCCTGAGGAAGAAGCAGCTTTGGAACTCCCTGATAAGAAATTCAAAAGAATTATATTTAGGTACCTTCAACAGATCGAGAGACAGATCAAGGAAAACACTGACAAAATTAAGGAAAACACAGGCAAAACTTCAAAACAATTGAGGAAAACAATACATAAATAGACTGACAAAAATTGGAACTGATAAAAAGCAACTAATAGAAACTCAGAAGATTAATACTAAAATTTCAGAAGTAAGTAACACACAGAACAGGTGAAAGAGTAGAATCAAATCAATGGGAGACAGAATTAGTGAGAATGAAGACAAATACCTCAATACTACCTTGTTAAGAGTCAATCAGAAAAAAGATCAAAACAAAATGAAGAAAGCCTAAGATTGATGTGGGTTACCATCAAGAGGAATAATTTAGAGAAATTGTCAAAGATTTGTTGGAAGAGAATTTCTCTAATATGAAAGATGAGAAGATAACCATTCAAGAAATTCAACAAACCCCAAAACAAAATCTCCAAGACATAACATCATCAAACTTAACAAAACCAAAGACAAAGAAAGACTCCTGAAAGCAGCCAAGAAAAACGAAGTCACCTAAAAAGGACAGCCAATAAGACTAAGCTCTGATTCCTTGACAGAAACCATGCAGGCAAGAAGGAATGGGATGGTACATATAAAACTCTGCAAGAAAAAAATAGCCAACCAAGAATTATATACCCAGCAAAGCTGTCCCTCAAATATGATAGTGAAATTAGGACATTTTCAAATTATCAGAAAGTAAGGGAATTTGTTAAAACAAGTCCAACCTTAAAAGAGATGCTAAAGAGAGTCCTTTGGAAAGAGAACCAACAACAGACAACAACTGGTGATTAACAGACATAACAACCCAGAAACCAACCCAGTTATAGAAGTATCCAAAGTAAAATAAGCTTACAAGGGTGTAAACAGGGAACTGGAGACATCAGTTGGTAAATGAGGACAACTACAAACCAAAAAAAGAATAAATAGTGTAGGATAGAAATTCCAAGTGGTGAGGAAGTCAAAACAGTTGCAGAGGGTGTGGAGCAAGCTGCTCAGGGCTGGACTCCCAAGGCAAACAGAAAGGACCTGGGGATAGGTGATGTCCCTTAGAGCCAGATCTTGGTGCCAGGATGTTGGCTGAACAAGGGGTTGAGTCTTGTGCTTCTTTAGATTTCAGTAAACCAGTTGGAGGAAGAGAAGCACGACAGAACTGGGTCAGCTGGGGAAATCTGAACCATCTGAATGACATTCCAAGGGGATGCTGGTAAATGAAGGATGGTGCCACCAGGGGCAGCTGCCTAGAAGATAAGGTAGGAGACCTTGGGCAAAGGGGGACAAATGAATGTCACATCTGAGTTTCCTGTATGTGGTATGTGTAAGTGAGTGTGTGTAGCCCCCTGAGAGACTGAAGTTTAACTCTCACAAGGATGTTCTGTGGTTGGTTTTTGTCATTGTTTTCTGAACGGTCTCCTGCACAAAACCAGATAATTTATTCCTTTGCTGGTCACTGCACTGAGAACCTTCACTGAGGGAAGGGCTGGTTAAAAGTCAACTTTCTCTCTCCCACTAATCAAGCCACAGCTCCTGGCCCTTTTGCAGAGATGAGGTTGATATTTCCTTACCTTTACAATTCCCCAAGTACAAGTGTATTTAAAATCACCCAGTTTTTAAAATTATTGATATGCTAAACCCATTATGTTAGCAGTTACAACCTCAGCAAAGAATTACCTAAATTTACAGAGCTTTCATCCTACCTCAGGAGAAAACCCTGAACTAGGACTGAAGAAAATGGGATTCTCCTTCTAATAATGTAGTGCGATGCTTTATGCTTGGGCTCTAAAGACTGCCTGGTTCAAAATCATGTCACTGCACCTTAGTAGCTGTGTAATCTCAGGCAAGTTACTTCTCTTAGCCTCAGTGTCTTCTGTAAATGAGGATAGTAATAGTACTAACCTCATAGGCTGGTTATGGGGATTAAATGAGATAATACTTATAATGCACTCGACTTTAGGACCAAATGAGCACTCAGGAGCCCACTGTCGTTGTCTACACAAACCACATCACCAGGGCTGAATCTGCAAGAGGGAAACAAAAGTTCCTACATACCTCCCCAAAAAGACCCCCAGGTGCGTTAGTCAAATTTGGCATCTTCCCATTTCTTATCACTGTTCAGTTGGTATCTGTGAGCTTTGGATGCTATTGGACGCCCAGGTGAAATTGCTCAGAAGTCCCCAGAGTGGTGTTACTCAAAGTGAAGTCCTTGGGCCATCCCCAGGAGTGTCTGTTAACATGATTCCTGGGCTCCAGCTCCCCTGGCCTCCTAAAGTATATGGTGGCCCAATGCCCAGAGTCAGGCTGTTTTAACGGTTTCTCCCAGATGGTTCTCATGCCACACAAATTTGGCTATCAAAAGTCAAGTAACTTAGGGAAAAAAAGGAAGTTGTTGGGGAAAGTGAGGCACAGC